TTTTTTTTTTTTTTTTTTTTTTTTTTAATTTGGATGACCAAAGGTCATTACAACCTGGCTTTTTATTGTATTTGTTTCTGGTCTTTGTTAAGTTCTATTGGAAAAACCACTGTCTGTGTTTTTTTGGCAGTTGTCTGCATTATCCTGTTCATACACCCATTTTGTCCCTTTATTGAAAAAATAAAAAAAAAACCTTAAAGTACACCATGGAAGCTTCTTGTGTCCTCATTTGACACACACCGTAAATTACTTTGGGCAGAAAGCGGCAGGTTTTAGGCGCAGGCCAGTCCCTTGACCCCGGTTCGCCGTGCGGGCCCTTGGACGTGCGCGTCTGCGGCCGCAAGGAGCATAAACCCCCGCCTCTGCTTAACTAGGCCGCCTCTCCCGAGCAAGGGGGTGTTTAGGCTTGCAGTTGAGGCCCGAGCCCTCCAGYCAGTGCGATCCCGCTGGAGGCTTCGCTTTTTTTATCTATTTTTTCCCTCCGGGAATGCCTGTGGCTAAGGAGCGGGCCGTGCCGAGCGGCGCCCTGGCCGCGGGAGCCCCTTTCTCCCGCCGCCGTTGCAGGGCCCCGGCGCGGCCTCAGGAGCTGATGCCGCCGCCGGGGCCGAGCGCCGGGGGCTCCGGGGAGCCGCAGAGCGCGGCCGGGCGCCCGCTCCGGGGCCCCGCGCGCCTTTGCGGGCCTTACGGCTACGTTGTCCCGTAAACCTGCGCCCCAGGTGTCCCCCGTCCCCCTTGGAGGTCCGTGTGTGATGTCAGTTTTACAAGTACCGCATGTTGCAGCATCTCTTTATCGAAACGCATACTCTGTGATACTGTCTCTTGCTGTTCCTAGTGTAATGGATTCGATGCTTTTTTTTCTTCTTCTTTTCAGTTTCTGTAAGACCTTACAGTTGTTTTGTCGTCTTCTTGTGATGGCATCGTTTGTTGCCTGTATTTTGCCCGGTGCCTTCTTGAGGGGGAAGTTTGGGTGCTTTAGAGAGAGTGAAAGAGGGTGTATTTTATTTATTTTTACCTGTGTATATGTATATGCACACACACATACACACGCATATGCGTCTGTGTATGCGTATATACATATATATATATATATATATAAAAAAATAAAAATAGGTATTCCTTTTCTAAGAGGGAGAAAATCAGAGCTCCGTTCTGATGCCAGGGCAGTGGGAAGGAGCCTTAGTGCAGGTTGTCCGGACGCGGTGCCGAAGGCCGGATGCGTCTCCGGAGCCGGTGCTGCCCGGCCTCCCGCACGCTGCCGCCTGCTGGGGCCTGGCCATGGGCTCTGGAGCCCCTGTTTTCCATAGGGACCACTGGGAGCAGGGCCTTTGCCAGGCCGCGTGGCGTGGGGCAGGGCCTAGGCCGCAGGCGCCGCTGCCAGGCGGGAATCCTGTGCTCCGTTGCCGATGGGTGTCCGCGCAGAGCTGAGCCTGGCGCTCTCCCGGTCGGGTGCTAGCTGGCAGTGCCGCAGCGGGAGGTTTTGTGTGCGGGACTCGCCGTGGCGGCTCTGTCTGGGCAGGGAGGAAGCGATGCCGTCTTTCCGCGCTTGCACCGTGGTGGTATTCGCAGCAGGGCAATGGTCTTGTCAGAATGCTCCTTTCATTTGACATCGAAATAATTTTGTGCCTTTGCACAGATGCCTGTCCAGGCAGGTCTGTGCTATGCATGCCACTCAAATACTAAAAAGTGAGAAGGATGCAAAGATTTTTTTTTAATTGTGCAGCAATGCATTTGATTTATATTTATGTTTCGGCAAGCCAGATAGGTCCTTTGGCCATTGCTTCGCTGGGCGATTGCACATCCAGGGCTTGCACTGTRGGTTGGGGGAGCCCTGCTTTAAGAGCCACGTTCAATGTTGTCTAAGTAACTGGAGCTTCAAAAACTAGTCAATAGGAACGTAGCTCTCAAATGACAACGTGTTGTAGCCAGAACACTAAAGCAAAAAGCACGATACCAAATGTGACATTTTCTAAYCGTGTGACGAATTAATGGTGTTATAAAACCACGAAGCGTTGAGGCCTGCTCAAGTTGGTTGGAGTTGAGGAGCAGATTTATATGGTACCCATAATGTGCTCTTAAACCGCTGTAGTATTCCCTACAAGCGTGACCTACTGTCCCAAGAAACTTTTGTATTTATCTCTACGTGCAGAGATGTCTCTATAAATAAGAACAATATTTGGGTAATAGT